AGCGCTCTTGAGATATTGGACATCAGTCAGAGGCAAATTTAGGGGAGTATGAATTAGAGGCTCCTACTGTAGTTGCTCGTTCGGCATCACAGGTGTCTGCTTCCCATGGGAGGAACCAGGGTGCTGCATCGAGAGTGGTCTCGGCTGAGTTTGATGAGGACGATACTGACGAGGATATCGAGGTCCCTCCACCTACGCGTGGACATGGACTGTAACACCCCGAATTTTGGGTTATGGTTTGACCAAAATACGGGAACGGTTGGGTTAACGGTTACATACGAAGGGTTGCAACCGTGAATTAGTAATAATAATTTTTATATTATTATTACTAATTAATATATATATATATATGGCAAAGGCTAGCGTACGTTAGGCGTACGCTGTACGCCTGTGTTCACACTTGGTTTTTGCACTTCAATATATTTCGTTGAATCAGAACCGTCGGTTTTTATTTTTTAGATTAAATGAATCTTGTGGCTTGGGTTAGAGAATTAAGAACTGAGGTTCACCCATTAGAGGTTAGGGTATAGTATCATGCCCAAAATTTCGGTTATTTCGTGCTCTAAATAGTAAAACTCGTCGCACGTACAATGTACGACTGACGTACGCTAGCTTGAACCATATATATATATAAACCAAAAATCTAAACCCGAAGGAAGATACGAGTTTTAGCCGCTCGAATCCCTAATCCCCGCCGACCAGCACCAAACTTCTCAAAATCTCCAGCCGCCTTCCTCAATCTACTCCCACGGTGGTACACTACGCTTTAACTCTCTCAATCTTTGGGGCGATTCATGGTGAAAATGGTTCAAATCCTGTGAAGTTAGGTTGGGAAGAGACAGGGAGGAAGAAAGTCGCACGATATTGTGAAGAAGAAGCGGCCAGATTGAGCCCTTCAAGTCGTTTCTGGGAAAAGTAGATGCAAAGGTGCCCTGGTCCGAATGGTTGCTCTAGCCCAAGTAGACTCCAGGAATTAAGGAGTTGCGGATGGAAATTTAGGAAAAAAAAATGCGAGAGGCTAGCACAACAGGCAGTTTGGGACGGAGTCTCGAGCAGTTGGGGATTTCCAGGTGCCATTGTCGCCTCGGGAGGAAGAGTTTCGTTCAATGGTGGAAAAGTCTCGAGTTAGGCTGAATGGAACTGCTCAGCCGCCGAACGAGAGGATAATGCATCGACTTAAATGAGATGGGTGCGTACATGTGTGCTGTGCAAAGAAATGATTCGGTAGCAGGTGAAGGAATGGATATCGGGATGCCAGATAATAAGGTGAGTGTAAAGGGGTAAATTCTACGTCTTACGTACTCATTTAAGTATTATGATTTTAAGTATTTTAGTGAATTAGTTACCATTGCTTGATTATGGTTATGATTGATTATTTGTGCTTTGCTTGAGCTATGATTTGAGGTAATTCTATGTTAGTTGAGGTGATTTGAGGTGATTGTGCTATTTACCTTGAAGCGTGATGTTTGAGTTATTGTTAAAGTTCAAGAAGCAAGTTCTTTTTAAGGAGTAACTTGCCTTCAAGAAGGTGAAGTCGTTTTAAGTGTTTTTAGTCACTAGCGCTAGTCCGTTGCCATTTGAGACATTTTGAGATAGAGCAGCAGTTATGCTCTTGAGACTTTTAAGATGAGCAGCTGTTATGCTCTTGAGAATCGTGGTGACGAGCCACCACGATAAGTTTAAGATGTTAGGGGGATGAATCGTTACGACTTCCCTAACTAAGTTTAAGTTTAAGGAAAGCCTTGATGGCTTCTCATACGTATGAGTTGGCAACCGGACTAGCTAGTGAGGGATCCCCGTGTCAGTCAAGTATTTAAGTCAAGCCTTAAGATTTAAGAATAGAGTAACAGTGACTCCCATACAGTTTTAAGAGTTAAGCTTTTTAATAGGGGAAGTACAAACAACTTCCCTCAGTTTGAGTTTAAGTGTTTGAGAAGAAGTGCAAAATTATTAGAATTAATAAATCGTAAGGGCGTAGACTGACCCCATCTCACTCACCAGTTTGAGGAGCTAGAGGAGCGGTTAGTGAGCAGCGAGTTCGAGGACAGGCAGCTAGAGCAGGTCAGTGCAAGCGTCACAGAGGATGCTTAGTCAAGGTTTCCAGTAGCCACGGCTTTAGAGATTATTAGTTATTTACATCTATGATTATGAGTACAGACTGGAGATTATGTTGAGATTTTTAGTATTGAGTTTGCCCACTTGTTAGGGCTTTGCTTTGAGCTACAAGAGTGTGATTTCAGTATTTTATTGGTGAAAATTTTCCCCGCTGCAATTTAAGATTTGAGTATTTTATTTATCAAGGGCATTTTTGTAAAAGTAGTACCCGGCCGGGTTAGGGTGTTACATGGATGAGTGCCGTCTTGTACGACAACATCACGTCCTGCTATGTATAGGGATCGAGCTGGGCGGTTCTTACCACCTGCTCGTGAGGAGACAAAGAGCTTGGGGACTGGACGGAGTAGGGGAGGACGTTCGAGTGGTCCTCCTACCGTGGGAGCTCATTAGGACCTTCCGTGGCCACGCTTCCTATGCGCTTTGGACGGGGGTTGGAGATCGAGGGGTCATCAGTTGCTACAGCTGTACATCGGCGGTTGATTATCTAGGTAGCTACGTGCTTAGTCATGTTCGCACGTTGTCGACCATTTTTATGTTCTTCTCTGTCTAGACCCTCTCAAACTCATTGATCTTTTGAAGAAAACCCTCCTGAGTCCAACTCCATGCAGCTTTGTCGAAATATTTCTTCAATACCGCTTGTGTTACCTCTCTGTTTGCAATTCCACCCAGTAATTGCTCAAACTTTTGCTTCACACAGTTGTTGACGTGCCATAAACATAGTAGGTGGACAGTATGTGGGAGAGGGAAGACCACAGGAACAGAAGCAAGTAGACCACCTTCTTTGTCTGTTACAATGACATTCGAAACCGTATCACCGAGTTTGTACCATATCATATAAGGCAATCTGACTTTTATCGTACAACTTTAAGTTTTACCATAATATAAAGGTACGACTTTAGTTTGTACCATAAAAGTGATTTTACAAAAGAGTATAAGTATAATCTAAATTTATATCATAACATTAAAAATACAATTTCAAGTTGTACCGTAAAGGCAACAACTAAAATATCAATACTATTGTAAAATTCCTCTAGAAACTTTTACTCTAAGTCAACCCCGAATCACAATTCGCACACCTGAGAATTTATTCCCTTTGACAGGACTATTTATCTATCGTTCTCAAAGCTGTACATTTCATTGAGCAGTGTTCAATCTTCAAAGATATATAGACAGAGAACAAAAATGAAAATGAAAACCATGTGATATTTCTACCAAACAAAAATGAAAATTACTCTACCATGTGATAATTATTGGTTATTTGACTTATCTTTATCATTGTATATATGTTTTGTACACGTACTCATTGTATATATACTAATTGTATAACTGTAATTATATTGTCATTATAAATAGAAAGTGTAGCCGAATTTCTTAAACCCTTACCTTGGCCTTGGGTATATATATAACGTTTTGTGGGCCGCCATATAAGCGAAGCGATTTATGGCCGCCCAACACATAGGCACGTTGTGGCGAGCGCTTAGTATTTTCCCTTATAAATAGAGGGCATAACCCATTAGCTTAGTAAGGTTGCACAAACACACAAATTCTCTATAGCACTCTCCACGAGTTATAGTCTAGTCAAAGAAGAGTGGTATGTAGCTATGGAGATTTTGTCATCATCAATGGTGGTACTTTCCTTCTCCTATATATAGATATTCCAAATTGATTGTATAACAATGTGACCTTGTTTGTCGTTATGCAAATGAATGTTATGATTTCATCTCATACTTGTGCTTATCTATGAATTTTTTTATGTTATTGCCTATGTATGGATGCTTTTGTTCGCATGGTTATGTGGTGGTCATTGATATTTCTATTGAATAAACACTTATTTACCATTGATGCTTATGATTCTATTGTATTCTACTATATGTAATGTGCTTAGTATTACCTAGGTTGTCAAGAAATTACCAACTATTGATAAACCATTGATGTTGCACGAGTATAGGGAAAAAATCCCAGAATAAACTAGTTAGTAAAAAAAATTCCCAAAATACAGTACTTATGAAATGATTTCCCAAAATACAGCAGTTTGGGCATCACCGTTGCGGACCAAGACAGTGAATTTCATCACCGCTGTTGACAAAAAACGGTGAAACCTTCACCTCTATCGTCCAAGACGGTGAAGTGGCGCGGATCGCTGACGTGGACATGCGCGGGCACTTCACCGTTTTGAACAAAAGCGGTGATAGCCCGCGCTGTCCACTTCATCGATCATTGTCGTATGCGCCCTTCACTGTCACCGTCAGGTGCGGTGAGGCGCGGATTCTGGTTTTTCTCCCAGATCCGACGCCTCAAGCCAAGCCACGTTAGCGATCCGCGCAATTCACCGCCCTCAAGAATCCCGGAGAATGCTTCACTGCTTTGGACGAGAGCGGTGAATGCTCTGTGGTCCCCCTATAAATACCACCCCATCCCCCCTCATTCCAACCCACACCACCACTTTCATACTTCTTTCTCCCTCCATTAGTTCCCTCTAGTCTCGTTCTAAGTATGCTCTGTGGTTGCGGCTAAGTACGATCTTCCACATAAGAAAGAATTACTAGAATTTTTATTTTTTTTTAAATCTTATGCTCTAAAGTTTCGTAGATACTCTCTCCAGCTTTTCGGCAAAAAATGGACGAAGAGGCTCAGAGAGTACGATTTTTTTTTCCACCTTTGTTGATGTTCTTTTAAATAGGTTTGAAATATTCTAATTTCATTTCATATTTGTTTATAGATGGGTGCTGAGATATACGGCCCTCGTTTGTATATCGATCCTGTCCCAAGGGATCGCAAATATTTAAACGAGCAAGAACAACATCGCTCCCGTGCAATTTGGGACAATAATCAGGTAGACACTCTATCTGTACTATATAAATTTTTAAATTATTTCAATAGGTTAAAAGATTTTGTTTTCTTTTTTTTTCCTAACAACGTTGTATTTTTTGTTTTTAGGAATCACTTATTCCCATCAGTCATCGAGGGACATGTCGATTGCCTAATTGGCATCCTCGTCTCGAGCCCCATCTAGAGAGGATGGGATTGCACATGCTGAGGCATTTCATGTGGCTTGATATCGACAACGATCTGCTTATGGCAATGGCAGAGCGATGGCGCCCCGAAGTGCATACCTTCCCGGGGAAATGACGATCACCCTTAGAGATGTTGCCCTACTCACCAGGCTGCCGGTCACTGGAGAGGCCATCATCGTCAACTCAAGTAAACCCGAAGGTGGTTGGGGGCCGTTGATTCTTGAGCGTTTGGGGTTCAACATGCCGACCACAATGCCTGTTCAAGGGGTTGGGCATCCACCGCTCAATGCGGGGCAAGTTTCAATCTCGTGTCTTGTTGAACACATCAAACAGGAAGTGAATTTAGGGCCAGACACCCCCGAAAATCAGGTGGAGCGATATGCACGCGTCTACCTCATTGGATTGGTTGGTGGATTTCTGTTCCCCGACAAGGCAAACCGGTGAATTCAAGGCATGTGGTTGCCGTTGCTCCTCGGTGATTGGGACGAGATCGGGGGAAAGAGTTGGGGCTATGCCATATTGGCTGGGATCTACCGAGAGCTGTGCACTTACTCGAGGTTGCGAGCGAAACAAGCAGGAGGTGCAATGGTCATACTCCAACTCTGGGCATGGGAGCATCTTGCAATGTTCGCTCCCCGAGACCCGCGGGAATTTTTGGGTCCAGATGAGGAGCTACGCTTTCTAGCAAATTCCCCCTATGGTGTCAAGTAAGACTAATTTACATGCTAATTTTATTCCAAGTATGCTATTTTTGTATTTTAATGAATTTAGTTATTTTAGTGAATTTAGATACAATCCAAGTATGCAATTTTAGTATTTTAGTGAATTTGGTGAATTTTAGTGAATTTAGCTAATTTAGTTAATTCTCGCATGCATAGCAAAACATATATTCTTTTAAAATATCTTCTATACGTAATTTTTCTTAATAAGGTGGATCAGAGAAAATACAAACGACCACCAGCCCAAGCACTCCTTACTATTTTATCGTGTTGAGTTTGATAAGCCTTGGTGGAACCAGGTAAAAATGTCAAATCAGATCTTTTTAAAAATTGTAAATGGATTAGGTTACAATTTGTACTAAATCCAAATCATTAATGAGTGTAGGTGACATGGGATCCATATCCACCTCAAGTCGTCGAGATTCATCGTCTTAGACACCCCCAGGATGTAAAGACGTGGTTGTGCAAGGTGCCCTTGATCTGTTGGCACATGGTGGAGTGGCACCTGCCGGATCGAGCATTGAGGCAGTATCGGATGGAGCAACCAATTCCAGCATCCCCACCTCAAGGGTTCAAGAGCTCCATGCCATCGACCTACGACACAAATCAAAGAATTGGATTCGCAAGCATGAGTTCTTCATCAACATTTGGGAGAATAGAACGACTTGGGCTGCCCAAGGTTTACCGGAGACGAGGCCAATGGGGTACCACGATGGATACATGGGGTGGTATAAAAAATTCACACTTAGATGGATGTCAAAGCAAGGTGTTGTGTGGGGAGCGGTGGTAAGTTTTTCCAATTCTTAATCTCCATCATATTCTTATGCTTTTGTCCCTAGATTACATGCTTAGATTTGATTCATGGCAATTAACTTGATTAGATTAATTTATTTCATTTTTCTAATTATTTGTATTAGGTTGATGGCTTGGAACATGCCAAGCACACTGTCGAGAGTGCAGCTACCATGGACGAGCGGAAGACATCTTTCCTACGAAGGCTTTTCAACAACCTACTCAGTTGTACGCGAGAGCAAACGAGGGATGTCATCGTATACCCTCCGGTGCCTGCTCCGCCTCGACCTTCTTTCCGTGATGATGAGCCCATTGTGCCCCCAGCTGATCCCCACGGAGGAGTAAGAAAAGAGCCCAGCCAAGCATTGAAAAACTTCGTCCGACTCAGCAAACACAACTGCCTGGCCCATGGCCAGATCATTCATGAGTGGTCAACTACAATGGAAGGCGGTCCAGGATCGTCAAGTTATGCCCCGCAACAGGAATATGACATGTTTCCTCAAGGGTTCCCTCATTTCCACCATCAGCAACAGACCCCGATTTTTCAGACACCGCCTCCTCAGCCCACATCTTCTGCCTACTACCACTCTTCTGGTCCATCTCGGCCATCTGTGCCTCCCCCGCCTACCTATACTCCGGTCGGACGTTGGGTTAAGAGGAATCCGCGAGCAGTCATCCAATAGGCTCGCGAAGAAGCAGGAGGCAGAGAAGGCGAAAGAAGGGGTCGAGGTCGCAGTGGAGGACGAGGATGAGGGGGAGAAAATGAAGGAGACTAGTGAACTATCCATTTGATCTTTATTTATGTATTGTGTGTTTTCATTAAACTATCCATGTCGTCTTATTCTCTATTGTGTGTTTTCATTAAACTATCCATTGTCAAGTTATGTCATTTGCTCTATTGTGTGCTATCATTAAACTACCATGGTTAGTTATGTCATGTTTGTTTTCGTTACACTATCCATGTCGTTTACAAATGTCTTGTGTACCAAGTCAAAGCACAAATCCATCATCATTACAATCACTCAACAAGATTAATACTACAACTCCAACTTAAATTGCGGCCATTAATCTAGGGAGTAAAGCATACGAGTCGTCCCAATCACCATATACCTCAGCCATGGCCTTCTGCTTCCCATGCCACGCCTTCTTATACTTGATCGTGTAGGAGTGTCGATCCTTCACCTCGGCCATGGTAGCTTTGATTTTAATATCTGGTTGTGCCTCGATCAAGTGCTTAATGGTTCTTACCACTTTCTTTGCTTTCAGTTGCCGGCGATCCTAGGACAGTATGTTTGAGGAGTAGTTGTGGTTGTTCTCTGCTGTCCGAATGACCCAGGAACCCTTTCTCTTCATATTTGCAGCCCGCAGTTGCCACAAACAACCCTCTCCAGCATTTTGGCAAATGACATGTAGTTGTTTGGTGTCAGAATATTTTACCTTCCATTCGAAATTGCGTTGCATGGCTTCTTCGATAAAAGCATCTTGAACATCGACTTTCGAAGTGAACGCCATACCCACCTCCAAATGGGCAATCGGATTCTACACACTCATAGGCCAAAAATCAGGGGGATCGTTCTGACTATATAAAAATTGAGATGGAACCTCTATGTAGTAAGGCGTTGGTGCCTCACTGAACGCCACCTCGCTCTCCTCGATATCGTTTGTATCTTCATCCTCACTGACTGATCTCAAATCTTCCTCACTTTCCTCGTCGCTGGAGGCGAATTGATAGCTCGACTCAGGAGGATCATCGTACCAACATAACCAACCTCATCTTCTCGGTCATGTGAAGTACGCCCAGTTCGAAGGTGGTTCTCGATGTCAGCCCACTCTGGCCCCCAAGCAGGCCATTGATCACCGTCGGGCTCAACGAATGGGGCAGTCTCAGCATTTTGCGGGTATTCTTCCCACCCAACACCTCCTGCATAATTACCTCCTCCGTAGTTTCTTGGACCTCCACCCCAGTCGTAGCCTCCTGCAGAACTACCTCCTCCAATGTTGCTTGAACTACCATCCCAGCCGTACCCTCCTGCAAAACCATCATCACAAGAATATTGGTGAAAATGAGTTTCACAGACCGGCTTGGTCTCGACATACACTTCTGCAAGCCGCATCCCTTTGTCAGATAGGAACTGTATCATCATGTTCACCGCGTTATCATCATTTATGATAACTTCTTCGCACATAACTCCGCCAGCACTCATGTTTGGATACCGGTAAGTAATTTGACCAACTCTCCTTTGACCATCCATACAAGTCCTTTCTGCACAAATGTCAAGTAGTTCTTGCCACGTAAATCTCGTATCAATTTTTAGCATAGTGGATTCTCCATTTTCATAGTCGATCCCAAAGTCCGAGTTTTTCCCCCGACCATTCCACCGAATAATAAGCTGAAACTCCTTAAATTTATCCATGTCTGCAAATTACAATAAGTAACTATTAGCTTAACTCGAATAAGACTACTATAGTATAATTAGTACATTAGGGATACAAAAATAATATCATCCAAATCCATTAACAACCGCAAGTAACTGATCTATCGTGAGAAAACTATCTAAATTCATAATAACTAACATCAATCATACCATAATTCAACTAAATATCTCTAACATAACATATTTGCCAATAACCAAAATTCACTAAATATAGACATATAATTACTAATACATCAACATGTAAACAATACATAATAATTATAACATACCGAATCCCGGTGAGTTTCTTGTTGCTGTAAGCCAACTGAGAAAAGGACCAAAAAGGCACTAATTTTCTACTGAATTGCTATAAGGCAGCAGAAGAAATCTGAGGGCTGGGTTTTTATAGGAATTTTTGGGGTCTAATCACTGCGCTTGACAAAGCGGTGAACCATCACCACTTTTGACCAAGGCGGTGAATGCTAGGTCGCTGTTACCTAACTTCCAACCTACCAGGGTTGTAGAACGTGGGAAGGAATCCCCGTTTTGGACAACAGCGGTGAAGAGTTCATCGTTTTGGACGACAGCGGTGAAGGTTTCAACGTTTTTGACAAAAAGGGTGAAGGGTTCACCGTTTTAAACAAAGGCGGTGATAGTTTTCCCGCCTATGTCAAAAACGGTGAACACTTCACCGTTTTTGTCAACAACGGTGATGCTATTCACTGTCTTGGTCCGCAGCCTTGATGCCCAAACTGCTGTATTGATGCCCAAACTGCTGTATTTTGGGAAATAATTTCATAAGTACTGTATTTTTGGGAATTATTTTTACTAACTAGTGTATTCTGGGATTTTTTCCCTATACTCGTGCAACATCAATGGTTTATCAATAGTTGGTAATTTCTTGACAACCTAGGTAATACTAAGCACATTACATATAGTAGAATACAATAGAATCATAAGCATCAATGGTAAATAAGTGTTTATTGAATAGAAATATCAATGACCACCACATAACCATGCGAACAAAAGCATCCATACATAGGCAATAACATAAAAAAATTCATAGATAAGCACAAGTATGAGATGAAATCATAACATTCATTTGCATAACGACAAACAAGGTCACATTGTTATACAATCAATTTGGAATATCTATATATAGGAGAAGGAAAGTACTACCATTGATGATGACAAAATCTCCATAGCTGCATACCACTATTCTTTGACTAGACTATAACTCGTGGAGAGTGCTATAGAGAATTTGTGTGTTTGTGCAACCTTACGGCTCAAGATAGGGTGCATAACCATGGGTTATGCATCCATCAATAACCAAATCTGGACCCTTCATTTAGAAAATCCAGATCTAAGGATGGAGAATTAAATATCATTTTTATTTTCTCTAGCTTTCTTAATCGGCTCATATATTTTTCGTTTTAACTCGGATTTTAATTTTTTTGCACAGGTGGAACGAGTTCATCGTGCTCTACAAAATGAGATTAATTTTCAATATTTTTTTAGAACAAAAAATTCTGGCCTCTTGGTACCAACTACATACCATATGGTATTTTCTTCATTTTTTATTCGTTTTTGAAAACGTTTGCACAGAAGGGACGAGTTCATCATGATATATTGGATCTACAAATTTCTGGGCGAACAAATTACAGGACCAAAAAATACCACACAATACCATACAATATCACCCTGGTACGTGGTGGTATTGTATGGTATCTTCTTCGTTTTTAATTCGTTTTTGAAAACGTTTGCACAGAAGGGACGAGTTCATCATGATCTATTGGATCTACAAATTTATGGGTGAACAAATTACAGGACCAAAAAATACCACACAATACCATAC